AAAAACGCCGTATGAGCCTTCATACATTGTCAAACTTCATCTGACAAATCAGCACTTTCCGGGCAAATTTGTAAGTCTTCTTCTTCCAAATTGTCAGAGATATTCGTTCGTAATTTCATCTAAAGTGTCTGAATATTTCAATGAAAAATATAACTTTCTTCAAAAATAAGTATATTCTGAGAGTAAATTTGGTAACATTTGGATGTTCATACGTTATTTTTCCCTAGCACGGTAGTATATCAGTGATCAGGACCACAGAAAAAAACGAGTGGCAACCGAATAACCAGATGTTTCCAGCTGGCGCATGGCTTAAAAAATAATGGGCAAGACTTCCTCATGAATGAAATATTTGGAAAATGATTTGATATCAACGATCAACCTAAAAAAACCTGATGGCCGAGGGCCAAGGGCCCGCCAGGCGCCTGAAAGCCTGGGGCCCTCTGCAAAGCAGGGTCTGCAAGGAGGCAGAGCCCATCACGTCTTTAATATTGGTCAAAATACAAAATTATTTGATTGCTTCCTTAGCACTCATTTTTTATTCATTCATTATAGTAAGAACATCCATCCCTTGTCATCGGAGGAATAGTCGATAGAAAGGTTATTAATCGGTCATTAGTTGGTCATTCACTATTTGAATATATTCAGAGGTCAAAGGTGTATCCATCCTCTCAGCGTGGTGTGGAGGTTGCCCTCTTTTACGGCTTTAACTTTGAAAGTTTTTTAAGCTTGAAAGTTCGTTTTGGAGAAAACCAATGATCGTACTTCTCGCGAAATTTTACAAAAAACGACAAACTTAAATAGCAAATCCCGGAGGAATGAAAGAGATAAATTGAAGGAGAGGCATCCAGGTACGTGGAGACTGCTTAAGGACATCACTACCGCACTAAGGAAGAACCATAGAGTACATAGAGTCGTAATGTAAATGTGGGAGCTGGCGCCATGTTCTGCTCGACGAGTTCCGAGCCCGGTGTGCGCCGAGTTCGGGTCACTTTTTCGATACAAGTTCGATCCAAGATGGCGTTGCGGAATACGTGGTGATCCCTATCTTCTTTGTTTACATCGGATGGCCGGGTACCTGTGTATCGCAAGCAATCGATTATGTATCGAAAAAGTGACCCGGCGTCACACAGGAGTCTCGAAATTCGGGACCTGGAAAATGCTTAAAAGTGGCGCCAGCTCACCCACTTACATTACGACTCTATGTACTCTATGGGAAGAACGCCGTATAAGTCTTAGGACATTGCCATGTTTCCTTTAATAGATACGAAACTACTGGGGAAATTGTCAACATTTTTCTTCAAAATTTTCAGACAATCTCGTCCGCAATTTAATCTAAAATATGCTAAAACTTCGGGGGAAAATAAACATATCTTTTTTCTAAAATACATGTTTTATCCGGAGAAATTTGGCAAGTCTCGAATGTTAGTTGGGTGTTTTTCCTTAGCACGGCAGATCAGGCAACTTGGCCGGAGACCGAGACGGGGCTCATGAATCGACCCCTACGCGATTTTAAACCAAAATAATTCAATAAATTCCCTCGCCTTTTGTTCTAATGATGATGATTTATTCGGCCGGAGGGGAGGTGGGGGGAGGCAGGGACGGGGAGCCAGAAAGGAGCCCATTGTTAATTGTTGAGGAGGAATTTTCGATGAGGCGGCTCAAGTTGGGACATAAATTTTGGGCCGTATGAAGCTGTTTAATAAGCAGCACAATGGAGCTTGGAGCTTTGAGGCATGGGCATGGGCGCCTCCAACCCGAATCCCCGAACCCCTTTTTTTCGCAACTCCATTGCGCTTACACCCCTCCAAACACGGCACCGCACCGTCTACCCCTGAGTCCCAACCTCCCTCGTCGCCCTGTTGCCGTTGAGCTTGAAGCTAATAATACCTCAAGACAATCCCTGAAAACAAATCATTATCACCAGGTTAATTTTAAGAGCGCTCTGAGGGACAACTAAGACGTACAACCTTCTTAAAATAATTATCTAAAGCATTGAATGCTCGTTAAGACTATTATTTATATTATTATTTATTTTTCAAAGGTACATGGTCGGATACACTTATACAAACGGGATATTGAGAACCTATAGATAATTTAATTCACCTGCATATCAAATAAACGGCAATAAACATACTTAGGCAGATTATGAATAGATTAAAGGGATGAAGTTGAAGACAGTATTGTCCCAAGACAAACATTTCAACAGGCAAACAAGACAGAATTGAGTTATGCAAAAAAGACCTGTTATGAAGACAATTTAATTGATAAGCGATAAAAAAGACTTACAATTATAGTTCAGCTAATCTTAATTACTAGTGATGGACCAAGATTGCTAGTAGTAAGTTAAGGTTGTTCATTTCCAGTTTACAAGCTGAAAAAAGGAGTTTGAGGACAACCTGATCAAAATTTCCCCAAAAACGAGCGTTCGGTAAGCAAGCTTTAATAAAACTTGGCATGAGTCCGAGCGTAACTAATTGTTAGCTTAAAACTATGAAAACAACTAATGTGAAAAAATCGAAAGGATAACCGCGCCTAGCAGAAAGGAACTAAGCCACATTAGCTGTTGCCAAATTTAACCAGGCAAATTAATTTTTTTACGAGAGAACTTTTTTGCGGATTCCTCGAGTTATGCAGTACCCCCGTACTATGCAGAAAATTCACTGAAATTTGCACAAAAATCTGCACAACCGTTTTCATGTAAAAAATTAAATTGTTCTATTAAATTTTGCAATATCTGGTGTGGCTCGGTTCCTTTCTGCTTAACGCAGTCCAGAGGTCGGTCATACGCATTGGACTTGCTATCACACTCTAGAAAGCAACCACGCAGGAAGCATTATTTATCCCCCCCCCCCCCCACACCAAAAATTCACACAATCATTTTTAATACTATATTATCGACATTATTGAGCAGACAAAAATCGTTATTTCTTTAAAACTGTGCAATTAACAATTTTAATTCATATTTTTTTCCTATACTATTCCTATAACTTATGCTCCCAGACTTCGGAAAATTTAATATTCTGTTTTTTTACACCCAAAATGTGTACTCTTTTCTTGGAACCTCTAAATTTTATGTTCAGACGAACTCACTCCAGGTGGTGCTTCACCGATAGCCATTATATGCTGTGGAGCCTAATACATTTTATGTACTGCTACTAATTTCTAAGTGAAAATTTCAATGAATTCGGTTCACCTAATTAGTACGCCGCATTAAACTTTCACGCAAATTTAAAATTTTGAAAGTGCATTTTGCAATACTTTATGTATATTCACAGGATCGAATTCTAAAATTCCATGTATCCGCCCGTACTTTCCTTCCCCCTTTCTCTAAGTTAAGACGTTTTGATTCTCCAGACAATCACCACCCACCATTTCACCCGCGGCGCAGCAGCGGGTCGTACATCCAGAATCCAAAATGACAGAGCGCCTTCATTTTTTCGTTTATACTGTAAAAACATTCACTGCGCACGAATAGTTACACATATATGCGTATAGGGTGTGAGTATCTTTTGTTCCAGTTTTGATGAAGCGATGTGCTAAGCATAATTGGACGAATTTATGCGAAAAGGAACTATGTGCAAAGGGATTGCGTGAGACATAGTTTCTTTTAGCATAAATACGTTTAATTTGCAGAGAAACTGCTCTACATATGACTATTCGTGCCTAAAAGGTATGTTTGAGGTATAAACGAAAAACTGAGGGCCCTCTGTCATTTTTTATCCGCGCAGTCCAACCCACCGACGCCGCCTCGCGCCGCGCGCCGAAGGTGAAGCGATGAGTGCCGCGGGAGAGCCAAAACGCCTTCACTCCCGCGTGTATGCAACACGGACATCCGTAAAGCTCGAATAGTTGTATCCAGGCGTTATAATGAAATTTACTCTGTGTTCGTCGCATATGATACTAACTGACGGCGCTGTGCTTGTTTCTCTTAGTACTCAACTTAATTTTAGCGTCATTTTCAACCCTACTATTAATTTTACACGGAAAAAAAAAGAATTGCTGATTCAGCAATTCAATTGCTAAAAACAGTGAGTGCAATGTTTCAACGCAGATTTTACAACAAAAAAATGCTACTTTAACCACCCCCGTGGTTAAATTAGTTTACAATGTGGTTAAAGTAGCATTTTTTTGTTGTAAAATCTGCGTTGAAACATTGCACTCACTGTTTTTAGCAATTGAATTGTTGAATCAGCAATTTATTTTTCCGTGTACTGTAAATTGTCAATTTTCCGAAAAATGCATTGATTGCTTCGATTCATTACAATGCTGCCGGTCCTCGAAATCTATAGAGGCATCTGTGCAAGATTTTTAGAGTTTCCTTTAATCCATTTTAAAGAGTCGTCCTTGGTTTGGATTCTTCCTCCTTTTGGAAAAATACTTTTGAAACATAAGTGCGCAATTTTCAAAGAACGATGCGCGAAGCTGGCCCAAAGTCCCTCGCATAACATCCTACAGCTAATTTACTATCCAAAATCATGCACATGTTTCATCTTCAGTTTTCCTTTATTTAGGGATTTTGGCACGAGTTTTGAGTGAGTCTCGACACTCTCCCTTTGCGTTATTGGGCTATGCACTCCTTACTTTTAGGGTTCGCGCCTTTGTGCACCGACCGTCCACATTATGACACCAATGAACTAACACGTTGAAAAGAAAAAGTCAGCTCCAGAAGTTATTGTTCCCCATTTTATTCCCGAGGACTCGTTCAGACGAAATAAATATCATTTCGATTTTTTTTAAAGAATTCGACTCAACTGTTTATTCTGTGCTATCTTCTAAAATAATAGCACTCGGAAAATAATGACCTTAACATAATCAATTGAAAGAAGATAGGGGAAGCAAGGACTCTCTTGCTCGAACGAAGTAGTATTTGAAAAGTTACACTTACTTAGTACCCTGTTGGTCTGGCCTCTAATTCGAGAAATCGGTGATCTTCGGGGCAGAGAATGCCACTGATTTTAGAGGCAGTCTTATCTATTTGGTGCACAAATAAATTTTCATGATAGTGTATTAAACCTTTATTGATTGAAACTGGGGAGGGTGCAAATAAGCTCTTGTGAAGGATAATTGAGAGAAGACAGATGAGTAATAGTCCAGACATTTAGGTAGCACATTGCAACGAAAATATTGAAATACAATTTCGATAAATCTCAATTTTATTTAATGAAATTGCAACATTTTTACAGAATTTGGTCAATGATTGCCACGCGATTTTAAACAATAAAGAAAATGATCTCCCTGTGTCAGAAAGTTAGGCAATGTGCAATGCAATGAAAATGCAAATAAGAAGTGTTCCTGCGATCAGTAAATAGGCAGCATGCACAACACTCGGGTGAAATATCAATACTTACACCATGTAATTGCAATTTATTGCAATCTGTGCTGCGGTGCTTGAGGAGGGTTAAGAAATTATCACATTTCTTCCCTGGATTTTCTCTCAATTCGGTATATGTGTAAGTCGAATTTCTTAACTAAGAGGATTTAGCTCCTCGGCAATTAAGTCATCAAAGGTCTCCCGCCGGCGAGCCACAACAACGCCTGATCCATTGACCAACAGCTCAGCAGGGCGAGGGCGAGAATTGTAGTTGGAAGCCATTGTCATTCCATATGCCCCGGCGGAAAAAATGGCTAGGAGCTCACCCCGATTTAAGGGTGGCAAAGCTCGATCTTGAGCCAAGAAGTCACCGCTTTCACACACTGGGCCAACCACGTCGCATAACTTTGTTCCATTAATACGCGATGTTTCAAAATCATCCGGTGGGGAAGGAAAGCCAGCAGGGACTTTGACTGGCCAAATCCCATGAAACGACTCGTATAAAGATGGACGGATTAGATCATTCATGGCAGCGTCCTGGATCAGAAACCGTTTTTCCCCCGATACCTTGGTGTAAATTACTCGACTGATAAGAATGCCGGCATTACCAACAATCACCCGACCAGGTTCCATCACTAGACGGCACCCCGTTTTCCTTATGCTGGGTACAACAGCAGCAGCAAATTCTGAAATTGATGGACTCGTCTTCCCATCATAACTGATTCCAAAGCCGCCACCCATGTTAAACCAGTCAATTGGGTGGCCCATTTCCCGCAGACGAGTAATAATATCAACAGATTTAGCTGCTGCACTGCTGTAAGGGGCTGTTGTTGTAATCTGCGACCCTATATGCATATGAATGCCAATCATCTTTATAGATTCTGAGCCTTTGAATTTTTCCGCAAGCAATAAGGATCGTTGAATATCCATGCCAAACTTTGACTCCTTATGACCTGTCGAAATATACCGATGCGTTTTAGGGTCAACATCAGGATTAATACGGAGAGCCACAGGTGCCTGGATTCTTTTGGATTGAGCTACTCGGACAATAGCATCCAATTCCTCCTCGCTCTCCACGTTGAACATGAGGACCCCAGCGGTTAGGCCAGCAGCAATCTCCTCATCGGTTTTGCCAACCCCAGCAAAGACAGTTTGTCTAGCCTGGCCTCCAGCGACACTGACACGCTTCAACTCACCACCGGATACTACATCAAATCCACTTCCATGTTCCGCCAATAAACGAAGAATTGATAGATTGGAGTTTGCCTTTACTGAATAACAGACTAATGGCTTAAGCTCAGAGAATGCCTCCTGGAGTGCCTGTAGCTGCTTGAGGATTGCTGCCTGACTGTATACGTACAATGGTGTGCCATATTTTTCAGCCAGATTTGCGACTGGAATATCTTCGCAGTAGAGTTCATTATTACGATACGTGAAGTGATTCGAAAGTGGCACTATTCCGGCCATGAGGGAAGGCTACTAATCTTCAGAGAGGTTAGGCTATCTAAGAATCATGCGTCGAGAAACCCACAGCGCTGACTGCTTCGTCATTTGTCAAAACCAAAGAGCCCGTTTGATTTGGTGTGCGCACCAGGTTCATCTTCCTTGTGGTCTCATAAACTGAAAAATAATTTTGGGTAAAATTTAATATTTTTTTTTTTTAATTATACATTTAATAGTAGGTAAATGTTACCCAATAAATATACCGTCTAGACGCGACGAGGATAGCGATATTTTCAAGTCCGAGCGATTTGATGTTCAATAGCAGCTCGCTTCCCTCGGCCGGCCCTTCACTGCAGCGCGCTGCTCTCGTCTTCGGAGCGCTCTCTGTTCCCTCTTCCCGTCAAGGTTGAGATTGCCCCCCCCCCCCCCCCAATTCTATTATTTGTCGTCCACTTGGATTTACTATCTACTTATCGATTAGTGAAACAGCCTCAATCCTGTTTTACACACAGTAAGATGTTTTTCTGGCAAACTTACTTGATCATAATACCTATTCCTACTAGTCTATAGAACTGGGACGAGAAATTAAACCTCGAAAAAGTGGCAAAATCAGGAGGTAAGAGCAAGGAGCCGTCCATTAATTCTGAAAGTACCTCGAAAAAAGTTGAGTAAAATAAAATAATAGGTAAGTAAGACAGCGAAGAAGAAGGCCACTTTTTTCCAGACGTTCCATTAGATTTTTTCCGTGAAATAGAGTAGGTAAATAAGGAGTTGCAGAGGATCTGAATTTGAAAAAAAAATTGCCGGGAAGTGCTCTTGAGACGGGGAGGAGAGTGAGTGGGGTCACGTTGCACCCCCTCCTCCATGGCAAGTACTACAGCTTGCCTTGTAACTGAACCCACCGCATGCCACTGTTGTCCTCAACTTTGCTGCTACATAATGTACGGATAGAGGGCTATTGACGATTTAAATCACGGGTAACCTCATACATAGTAATCAGGTGATTCAATAATGTTAAAAACTTACTTCCTTAGAGACTGGAGACATGAGACAGTTCAGCCGAAAACTACTTAGTGCTTCCAAAAACCTTGGGGAGGGATCTGCGCAATGGGCGTGCACGCGGAATCGTGCTATATTCGAGAAATCATTTCTGTACCTAGTCGTCACAAAATAACTGTTAACACTCGAACACTGGCTTGTTCTTATCTCACCGCTACTTATAACTGTTATCAATTTTAATTAGATTGATTAACGCATGGCTGGCACGATTAAAAATAATGAATCTAATAAGTAAACGCTCTCGTCACTCTTATAAGCCTGATCCTTCGAGTCAAAATTGAGCGGGCGGAGACCATTGTGCTGGTCCGTGCTGAATGTTACGAGCAGTGGCGATTGTTGAAACTTGGCAACACTGCTTTTCGGCCATATAAATGTATGTAAAAGAGTCGATTCTTGGTGTGGGAGCTTACCTCACCTGAATCGATATTTTTAATGGATTCAAATAGAGGAAGCTGAGACAGGAGAAAAGCTAAGATTTCCCTTCATTTTCGCGTGATAGTACATACCTACTCCGGAGTTTGAAGAGTTGCGCGCTTGATTCTTTCCACATTTAACGGTACCATTCATGAACGTCCGTACTCATTATTCATCGGTCCAGGCCCGCCACAAGGGGGGGGGGGATACTGGGTCCCTGGTGCCGGGGCCTGGGCCCCGGAAGGGGCCCGTGTTACCCGTGAAAAACCACTACGAATTCACATGCAACCCTTGTTTCGTAAGAAAAAGTGACAAATTTACCCTAAAAGGTGAATAGATTTTCAGAAACACGCTGAGGCACTGTAGAATTCTTCCTAAATTTTCAAAGAAGTATACTTCTTAGAAAATTTCTATCCATTTTCAAGATTTTCAGTACAGAGGGATATTTTTAGTAACTGCGTTTCATTTTCTTCCGTCGTCAGATGCTAAACGTCTCCAGTCTGGGCATCCTCGACTTCAATGGCTCATGACTCAACTCCCTTGCCATAGACAAACGAAGGGGAAGTCCAGGGGGGCCTGGCCCTCATAGAACTGAAAATAGTATCGTATGCTGCCCCCCCCCCCCAAAAAAAAAAATAAAAATTTTCCAGATGTTTTGAATGCAACAATTCGCAAGTATTTTGTGCTGAAAGTAGAAAAAAAAAACAATATTATTCCGCAGAAATTGATGGAAAAATTCTTTATGGAAGCTTCAAAATGCGTCCGATTAGTCGTATAAATTCTAAAATTTCTCAGGGGATGCCCCTCGGACACCCCCCCCCCGGCTTAGGGCCCGGACCTTAAAACTGGTACCAGGGCCCGAGATGGGATGTGGCGAGCCTGCATGAAGGCTATTTCCATTTAAATCTTCCGTCACATTCATACGGCGCAATGATACAACTATTCGAACTCTCCGGAATGCGTGAGGTATCACGCCGCATTTAAAGGCGTTTTCAAAACAGCCAAGTTCCGTTATGGGAATAATCGTTTTGCATAGTTCATATTATTTTGTTTCCATTTCTAACCACTTGTTTAATAATTATAATCCTCGTATAAAAACCACCCATTTTCTAAATACAATTCTAGCTGAAGCGCAATTCAGCTATGCATTCACCACTGCAAAAATTTCAGAGAAAATCGACAAGTCCAACGTGCATGAAGGCTATTTCCATTTAAATCTTCCGTCACATCCTTACGGCGCAATGATACAACTATTCGAACTCTCCGGAATGCGTGAGGTATAACGCCGCATTTGAAGGCGTTTTCAAAACAGCCATGTTCCGATACCCGGATTATCGTGTTGCATAGTTCATATTATTTTGTTTCCATTTCTAACCACTTGTTTAATTATAATCCTCGTATAAAAAACACCCATTTGCTACATACAATTCTAGCTGAAGCGCACGTAAGCGCATTCATGACTACAAAAATGTTAAGGGAAATCGTGAAGGCCAGCGTGCATGAAGGCTATTTCAATTGTAATCTTCTGTCGGATTTCTAAGGCGCAATGATTCAACTATTTGAACTCTCCGGAATGTGTGAGGTTAACGCCGCGTTTGAAGGCGTTTTCAAATCAGCCAAGTTCCAATGCCCGGGTTGTCGTTTTGCATAGTTCATATTCTTTTGCCATATTCCGTGCCACTCGTTTATTTCTAATCCTCGTAGATAAACCACCCATTTGTAAATACAATTCTAGCTGAAGCGCACTTCAGCTATGCATTCACCACTACAAAAATTTCAGAGGATATCGACAAGCCCAGCGTGCATGGAGGCTATCTCCATTTAAATCTTCCGTCACATTCTCACGGCGCAATGATACAACTATTCGAACTCTTCGGAATGCGTGAGGTATCAGTATCACGCCGCTTTGAAGGCGTTTTCAAAACAGCCAAGTTCCGTTATCGGAATAATCGTTTTGCATAGTTCATACTATTTTGTTTCCATTTCTAACCACCAAAACGTTGAGTACTTGAGGTAGTGTTGGTCGAATTTCTTGCGATGATGTTGCGATTTTCATGCGATAATCTGATGGCATTAACTAGTAAAAATAGGTTAAAATTAGGCGTATTTCTGTCAAACGGACCTGAGCGCCATTGGGTGAGGAAGGTAGAGGGGGGCTTGGATTGGCGGCGGAACCGGGCGTCGGGATCCTTCCGTCTTATACTCGCAATACTTTTTCATGGCACTTAGTTCCGTTTGACAGAACGCGCTATCCGGCATTCTAATTTCCTCAAAAGGAACTCAAATTGGCGCTTAGTTCCGTTTGATAGAAATACGTCCAATTCCATCTTAGATGGGCTAAATTTTCAAAACTTTCCGGGGGATGCCTCTCGGAGCCCCCTTGTCCTAGAGGACATTCTACATCCCCCAGTGAGTTGACTTATTTTCTGCACCCACGAAACAAAAGCCCACGCGCCGCCAGGGTCGGATTAAGGGGGTGGCCTCATGGGCCGCGGCCCATGGCGGCACATTTAGGAGGCGGCAAATTTTGCAATTTTCTAAACTGTAGGTTTTTTAAAAAATCGGATTCAGAAAAAAAATACAAGCCAGAAAAGGCGACAAAATCTCTCATTTCTAGAGAGTATAGTAATTTCTAATTTTGTCGTCTTTTGGTGATACAAGAGACAGCACCTTTACTTAGTCGAGTTAAGAGAAAAACCAAACACGCAATTTGGCCTGGAACGGCGCAGAGAGCAATGATGACGAGGACTTGAGATGAAATGGAGAAACCCTCGGACTCGGAGTGACGGTTGGCATGTAACACATATTAGCGATTAAAAGACTGCATGAATACTTCACGCATTGCATCAAACACAGTGCAGTCATTGCGGACAGCGAGAAACGCATAGCGCCTACAAGACTGCATGAATACCTCACGCATTGCGTCAAACGCAGTGCGGTCAGCAGATGTCGACGTGAAACGCATAGCGCCTGCAAGACTGCATGAATACTTCACGCATTGCGCCACAGTGCGGTCAGCGCGGCGGCGGAAGTTAAAATTATTGAAACACATTTATGTTTGTTCTTTCATAATATTTTCGTTCATTTCTTATAAATGGAGGGCCTTGTCCACACGGAGATAGTTTACGGAGCTTAACTTTCGCGCAAAGCTCCGTGAAATTTTGCTAGTAGTGTTGACAGGGCTTTCGCAAAAAATGTATCCAACACGAGTAGGTAAACGCATCTTATGCACCCCTCCCCCTCCGGCACGTTCACTTGATAGTTTTTATTAATGTTTCAAAACGAATGAGAAAGGGGCGGCAAAATACAGGCGGCCCATGGGCGGCAAGTAGGTGAATCCGGCCCTGCGCGCCGCCACTGGAGCTGATGAAGTTAACTATTACTGATTTTATTGCGACATTGTTAATTTCCCGAATAATCCTTTGATTGTTCAAATATGTGACAACGTTGCCATTATAAAATGCGAACAGAGCCTCTGTCTTCCCAAATCCAAGGACGAAAAATACAGGAAAAATTCGAGCGCGCATTTCTTGTATTCTTCCCTTCACGCAAAAAATAATTTCGTAAGAATCGGCCTGATTGTTATTCAAATCTCACTGGTACAAAAACTTGCCTCTTTTTTTTTTTTTTTTTTTTTTTTTTTTTTTTTTTCCACTTTTTTAGGGAACTGGAGCCTAAAGTTGTAGGTCTGGATCTTAGTGCCTGCAGTTAGCGCTATATTATCTGAAGTGTTAGGGCTCACGCCAAGATGTTTTTTCCGCGTATTGTAAAAAGATACGAGGCGTCCCGGGGTTAAATTGCTAGACAACAGAAGCGTAATCTATGGATCAAAATATTCATTTTTTCTTGTAAAAAATTTTTGTTTCCTCTCTCAAAAGTCCTCCTCCTTTCGAAGGTACCCTACTTCCTTACATTCAGGAAGATCGTATTTTTCTTGAAATTTTGTACCATCCTTAGGGGGTAAAGAAAATCCTGACTGAGTGTTTTTACCTATCAGGGTTGTTCAAAAATTAAGAAGAAAAAAAACAAAACAAAAACAATTAATACATTTATGAAGCGATTCTGGTGGGCTCTAGCAATTATTTCTCCCTGCAACCAAGCACTTCCTGCATCTCTGAGATTGTATGCTGGTATCCACATTTTTGTGAGGGGGTGTAAAGCGAAGGATTGCTAAAACTAAAATGAGAAACTCAAAAGGAAAGTAGGTTCATGATGGATACAAATTTCTTGGCATCAGTTAAAAAAAATTAAATTAGAATGAGCAGATCTTATCTTAGGTCCAACAGAAAAAATAATGCAAAAACCCTCAGGAGGAATTGAGGGGCTTGGAGGACAAGTGGGAGAAGTGCAGTTGCTGCTATTCCAAGAACTACATGTTCAAAATTTCAAAATTACAAGGAACTTTACGGCAGAAAGAAATTTTAAAGTCACTTATGATGCTTAAAAATTGGATTTTAATGGTGAATTTTTCACAGCGTATACTTTAAGACTGATTTTAGTAGAAATCTTTTACTGTTTCAATTTTTTCAAAACCTCCACTTATCACACTTGTCTTTCCACTTTCTGTGAATTAAAAAATATGACAAAGAATTCGTCAAACACATCTTTATTGTTAGTATCTAATCCAAAAAAAAAAAATCCCCAACATTTATTCGACAAAGCAAATAATAAGTGATAAATAGACTGCATTATTCACATTAATAACAGTTCTGATAGTGAATTTTTTGTTAGCGGGACTCAATATGGAGAGCCAATAGCATGCCAATAGTAGACACCTACATTCAAATGGTAACCCTTTGGTTTTTGTTAAAATGAGTGAGCCAGAATGTGTGGACATTTTTTCCTACACTGTAACAGATTTCCTGATTGATGACTTCAATTCAATTTTCGTAGAGGCATTCCTACTAAATAAATTGTACGCATCTGTATGTAAATGTAAATTAATTAAAGCGCACTTTGTAAGGTCCTAAATTTAAAGACGAACTCTTAGCGTTGAAGGTGGTGACATAGGAACTTGCAGGTACTATGAAATACTAAAGAATAACTTGAAAAGTACAAAACATACCAGCGTTGATTAAACTAACTGATTCAACAGTTGTGCATGCAAATAGAATTTTTTGAAGGTATGGTCAGAACACAATAATACGATGGAAGGGCTCCAGGATCACTTAACTGACAGGAGAAGGACATATTTCAGAGTGATATAGTAATATGCACACAAATATAAACATACTAAAAGTGCATGTTATTAAATTTCAAGGTTAACAATTCAAAAATTTTCTAGCACCAAACACAGTCTACAGCAGCTGTGGTTGGTGCATTTGTGGAAAAACTAAAAGAGAGGACATGATTTGAAGAAGCTAAAAGCTAATCTGACAGCTTTTACCAGAAGTGGGAGGGGTTATTTCCAGTCTCAAGAGAGAGAAAAAAATCTTTCAAGATAAGTTTGTTGATTCTTTAGTTGCAAGTGTGCTTGTTTCAAATTGAGGATGTAAATGGCCGAATACTTAAATTTACAAACTTTTGGAGGATAATAGGTAGAGCACATCTACCTAGAGGACCTCGCATATCACAGATAAAATTCAGCTGAACCTAGAACTAAAATGAATTGTTTCAGTGACTGAAACCTCCTCGAATTTTAGAGGGACCTGTAAAAGTTCTGAGCAGCTCAATATCAACCAGGTAAACTACATAACTAACAAAGAGATTGGAAAGAAGGAAATCAGGGAAGGGGAAGAGGGGGGTTTAGTACTGAGCTCAGAACTCCTGATTCATTGAACTTGCTCCAAGCACAAGGATTTTATGGGAAACATTTATTTTTATTTTACATTGAAGTTTAAAATGAAAATACTTAATAATGATGACACAAAGGTGAGAATTAAGTATTCTTCTGTTACTGGTTGATGGCCATACTTATTTTTATTTTAATTATGACTGAGCAAAAGAAAAATTTTAATTTGACTTAAAGCGAAAAATTATGTCACTCATGCCCTTCTACCTACCTGACACTAACCGTCCCTGAACTTGAACATTTTGATTGATAAAGGTAGTAACTACATAGATCACTTATGAGTAGCTTGAACAAAAATTAACAATCCGGATAACTAGATCATAGTAACAGTTGGCCTTTTATTGCTTGAATGCACCTGAAACAATAGAAGGAAAAAAATAAACATAAAATTAGACAAAGGCCTTCTTGATTAATCGTCAACTCAATGACAAGCCATGTATCTTTGCCCGCGACATTACGGACTTCTTGTCATACCTACTTCATTTTTTCTTTGAAGAACTAGACGACATGATCTTGTGAAAACTTTCTTGATTTTTTCTCTCTGTTAAAAGAATATTCTGTAGAAAGCTTAAGCAAAGAAGTTGGCTTGTTTCTCTTCTAAAAAATTAAATAAGGGCAGAAATGTTGAAACACCACGATGGAGATACATGGATTTGCACTTTGGCCATCAATTTTAATCGTTGATCATCTTTGAGATTGGACTTACCGTCCATGCATTTCTCAATAAATTAAAGAATAAAAATAATCATCAATCTATGGAGTGAATAGAGTCCGTGTGAAATATGTTTCCGCACTTTTAGACTGCAACAGAAGATCCACCATCTTGCTTCCTCCGTTAACTTTTCATATAAAAGTCATGGCGTAAGACGACCTTCTGTTGCAGCCTAGAAGTTCATAAACTTTTTTGGCATGGATTGTATGAACAACCTAGGTTTTTGGCAAAGACATTGAATCATGTAGACTGTGCATCCTGTGTTACAGAAGGCATGACAACTTGTAAAAATTTGCATGCTGATGAGTGTCAGCACCGACCTCGATGAGTTCGTGTGTCCTAAATGCGCACATCTGCGCATCCGCAGTAGCCACCCCAGTGAATTTTTTTTCAGACTGTGAGGCTTTTTTGTTGTTTGGTAATTAGTTTGGAAAAGTGAAACTCTGCTTTTCGGTTTTAAACTTGCATGTTCTCCAACTTTTACCCAGAGGAATTTTGTGGAAAAATGGACTCAAAACGAATTATTAGCAAAAAATCGAGTGCGCAAATGGATTCTCCATTGCTTCTCTGTAGTCTCTTCGAGTGCTTGGGGCACACGCTCTCTCCCCCTCCCCTCCGCCCATCGTGGTGATCCGAGAAACTTGTCTCGCTTTGCCTGTACAAAACCGAGCTGGATGCATAGTCTACATGATTCAATGTCTTTGTTTTTTGGCTATTTAGCCGCCATTTTGAAAATAACTTGGTGACTAATCTATTGTAAACAGTAGTGGTTCTTGAACAGCCAATACGTGATTTATTCATAAAATTCATCGATATTAAGCATTAAAACCTTAAGAATCCACTGGCCAACCGGGATTTTTCTCCGTGTTCCCGCTGCTTGTCTGCCCCTGATTAGTAGTGACAGGCAACCTGGGTTAAATTAGCATAGAAATAGCCTACCATAAAATAATAACACTGCTTTAGATTACTTACAAAATGCAATAACTAGGGCATAAGTATCAATCATCATCATCGTCATCATCAGAGGGAACAAATAGATCATTTTCTTCCAGAAAGTTTGCAATGTATTTACTGATGGCTGCGCCGACCAGAAGTCCAGGGACAACAGCTAGCACTACTCCTACCAATCCAAAAGGCACCTTCTTCGGCTCGGGTAGAACAGCTCCAGTTTGAGTGGTGGTTAAAGATCTTGCTGGGACTTTTCTGTGGTTGAAAAGGAGAAGAGACTGTCTAAGAGAGTTTCTTACAAGACTAGCCATTTGAACTATTGACTTCGTGACACCAAGGTTTCAGATATGGAGTTGAAATGAAAATCGACACTGATGATGATTCCTGCCTTTGCAAATGAAGAATGAGCAGCTACGGCAGTTAATTAAAGCAGCGCAAATTCAGAATAAAACAGTCTATCCAAATTGATCACTTATCCCAGGTAATGGAGAAAAGCTGAGAAAAACACTACGCTACACTGATAAGAAAATTTCGTGATTGTGTTGTTGTGATAATGGTGAGAGAGATGTGAAGCTAGCATCTACGTAAGCAGGAGGTAGATAGTTGCACATGTGCAAAGAATAAAAACAACAACAATAATTTCTCAGCTGGATGTTTTTATTTTGATTAGTGCTCTTTGCTCCCCCCCCCCTTCCCTTACTTCCGCCATCCACTCCTACAATTCCGTTTTCCAATTATTTATTTCTCTGGTCTGCTTATGTGCGTTGGATTACTCACATTATCTTTTATCTCGACTGTGACACGGTGGGAACTCAAAAGTTCCAAGTTAACACTGTACAGCTTATGTACAACAGCCTGTTGTAAATCTCCAACATGGGATTTCAATTCTAGCAACCCATTTTCTTGAACAAACGTAAGTAAGCACACTGGGTCGTTAGTATTTCAATTCTCTTTTCTTAAACAAGGTTATTTTGCACATTTCCTGCTTCAGTGATAAAACTTGCCCGTTCTCTTTGTATTATCGAGAACATTGACTCTGTCCCTTCGTGTAGCAAATGCCCTTTAGGAGAATTAAATCAGCGTCCCTTCAAGCGCTGGATGAACGCCTGGGTTGATTTTATCGTGGCTACCTCTCATGGTGTTTATGTATGCTCCTCAGTTCTTCACTCTAACACAAGAGCTACATATGTCACGTCAAAATACATTCACGTACGTGCCTCTCGAACCTAGTGATATGATCGATTAATCAGGAAATTCATTTTCCATGGTGTAATGTACTTTGATAGAGCCCACGCAAATTAAGTTACCAAGACATAGAAGTGCTCAAGTTAATTAAGCACCTCTAGACTGCGACGTAAGATCCGCCACTTTGCTTCTAACATTTTCTCTACATATTAAAGTGATGTCAGAGGATCTTCTGTCGTTGTCTAGGAGTGCATAAACTTTTCGGGGTGGACCCCATTGCTTTTGAGGAGGCACCAGCAATCAGATTAATAGTGTGTTATAAACCATATGGACATGAAATCATGAAGTACACTCTGAACTGTGTTTTCCAGGGTGAACTTTTTTTCAAGCTTATGCTTGAATAATGCGATAAAATTTCAGAGTTGTCAAGCCTCTTCAAGTTTAAATCAAGAGTTAGCACTTTTCATCTTGATCAATTTCTTCAATTTACAGTTATCTCCTTAAAGTTTTTGTTTCCCTAAAAACAGGTTTCTGAATCAGGGGTGCAGAAAGTTCTCAGCCTTCCTCCATTTCTAATTTGCCTTCCCCAAAGTTTGCTATAATTGCGCCTCCACATCAAACAACGTGCTTAACAGCTTCCTTCTCCAAAAGTAGCGCGCTTGAAAAACTTCCAGCATATACAACAGCGCGCTTAATAAATCCTTCCCCAAAAGCAATCGCTTAAAAGTTTCCTTCCCCATAAGCAACGAGCTCGAAAGTTTCCTTCCCTAAAAGTAGCTTTCCCCACAAGCAGGGCGCTTGAAAGACTTCCAGCAATTAAAACAACTTTCTTGATAGTTACCTTCCCGAAGAGCAGCAAGCTTGAGAGGTATCTAGCACAAATAACAATGCGCTTCCCTGTTTTTCCTAAAAAACAAGGAGGCAGGGGAGGGTCTCGCCCAATTTTTACAAATTTTTTTTCAGCCTTCCCTTATCCTCATAGGATCATGATCGTGTGACCGAGAACATTCTGCGCCCCTGTTCTGAATACTCTTAAGTCTACTTAATCTTCTGGCTTTTCATCCCGGATTCTCGCAAGATTGAACTGCTGCGCGATACAGTCGATTAAGTCTAAAATCTTGGCAGATTTTGAACTTTTTAGTCGATAAAAGGACAGTAGGCCCTGCGCAAGAGTCTTAAGAGTCATTCACAACCAAAAAATAAGCAAAATTCAGAGAGTTGAAAGCATGATTTTTTTTTGGAAAAACCTTGCATTCAACGCTGTAATCAACTTCTGTATCGAATGCCAGGTTTTTTCAAAAGAGAATCCTGCCTTCATCATTCTGAGTTTTGCAATTTTTTTGGATAAGAATGATTCTTTAAGCTCGTGCACAGGGGCTGTCATCCTTTGTTTGGCTCAGAATTCTAAATCTGCTGCGATTTTCGATGTAATTGATGCGATGTAACGCATTCTCATTTGATCCTTAGGGGACATATCACCCTAAAGCTAAAGCTCTGATTGTGTTGAGAAGAAAATGCATTTGGGATTAAGCAGTGCACTCTGACAGACGCCATCAGTCCTCATGTTACCACAGAGAATCTCCATTGTACGAGAAAATTGGATCTGAACAATACTGAGGACTTACTTAGCCACTTTCAGTACTACCAATGAGTATGAAAATCTATAACCATGGCTTTTCTGTGACATAGGATCACTGAGTAGTATATAATGAGCTTTCGTGTCAGATTGAATTGTCTGTAAAGTACCCTCGTGTAATGTGCACATGACTCGTACCTTCTAACCAATTGTTTTTTGCTCTCTTCCAATTTGCATTTGTTACTCTTTTTGCTATGTTCCATCTGATGCTTCAATTATAAATTAAAGCCTCTGAAAAAGTTCTCAGCAAAGAATTTCAGTGACAAAATAATCACTTAATCCTTAGATTTCTGTTTATTCAGGTGTCATGATTGAACCAAAAAGAATTTTCAGGGTTTTTATTTTCTAGATGGAACTCATTCACCTAATGAGCGTTTTTTAATTTGCAGATAGATATTGTGATGAAACTCATGGCAGCAATTGTTGGTACAGCAACTAGTAATGCAAGTGTCCAATGTGATGGTAAGAAACTACAAGAAAATTTGCAAAATGCTGTGAAACAGTGTCAAAGTCGTTATGCCTCCCGTACGGAACTTGCCACAGAGTTGGATCACAATGTCATAGTGCTGTGTCATTGTCTCGAAGCAATTTTGTCTCATGGATTGCGCCCCAGACTTAACAGCAATAAAAATGGATCTGTCTTCCAGTATGTGTTCATTTGATTATTCTTTTACTCCTTTTCATCTATAGTTGTGTAATTGAAGCTTGTAGGCTCACGGTTCATAAGCTGTATAGAATGAGAGGAGTTAGCACTCTGGAGCAAACGTAAATTTTACTTCATAGCACTTTCATGATAACTCATATTTTCTCTTGGGATAACAATGGGTCAGTTCATAAAATCGCATTTTGATGAAGCTTACGGATTGGCAAAAATCACAAGATCTGCTGCCGTTCAAACGCCTAGTTTTTACATCTAGAAATATCGGAGATAAGTACCTCACTTTGAAAAACATGGTGTTCAATGTCACCCACTGCAGTGGTTCATACCGTGGTTTCTTCCACCTTCTATTCATCAATTAGTGATACACCTGTTTGCTTTGTTTGCTTGGCTTTAAATAGAAATTAAACCAATGTGGAAGAAACCATAGTACTTACCACCGCAGTGGTTGACATCATACACTGTGCAATTTGAAGACTGATACCTCAGTTAATATTGGACAAGGGAACTTGGTGTTTGGACAGATCTCATTATTTTTTAATCAGCCATTATCTAAAATTATTAAAGCATGATTCTGAGAATACCGCATCTGACCGATTGTGAGTACTAGTGCCATAGGTGAAGACTATTCCCTAGGGATTCTTAACTTTTGCTTTTCATTAAATTTTTATCGTGGATGTTGGTTGACAACTATTTAAGAGGCTATTTATCTTTCCTCCATTCTCAAAGTACGATTTCCTCTATTTTCTGGTGATGAAATCAGGCAATGATTTTTTGCGTATAGCTCAAGTAACATGGATCCTTTAATATAAGTTGGGTGCTTTATTTTCACTTAATTTTTATTCTCATTTTTTAGGCATGTAACCAATCTGGTCAAGGAGTTGTCAAACAAAGATGACAATGTCGTTTTTTGGCATTTCGTGAGTTCTCTTTTAACCAAACACGAGTATGAAAGATACACAGCCTTAAAGCACATTTGGACTGATATCGGTCGTGGCAGAGCTTGGCTACGGTCGTCATTGAATGAACATTCTCTCGAGCGGTATCTTTCAAGCTTCATTGCCAATACGGACCGCCTACAAGAATTTTATCAAAATGATGCGTTCATTCGGGATAGTCAACTGAGTGCTGCTTTGTTGACAACTGTTACTGGTAATCTTCACTGCATTTTTCTTTCTTATGAACAAGTTTGAAACTGTAATCTTATTTAAATTTACGCTACTAAAATCTTAATTTCAGGTTGAACCTAATTTGAAAGATTGAAAAAAGTAACCTTCAACTGAAAGCAAATTCGTGTATCACCTTTTTGTCTCTGAAAAATAGAAATGTCTTTTTTTTTTTACTGAGACCTACTGCACACAGAAAAAGCAGAAGTTGGTGGTTGATACTTCTCCTCCATCTTTCTATATCATAGATGATTATTCCTCTTTCCAATCAATGCCCCTCTTGTTCCACGCTAAAGCCCCTACCCTTTCCGTTCTCTCTCACTGGTTTCATCTTCCTGTATCTTTCGATCAATACCGAAGAAAAAGAACAGTGAAAATATAGAAAGTCGAAACTAAAAAACTCAAACTCACGAAATTAAATTAAAATTGCTGACGCTTTTCAGGTCTCCCCGGCCCTTTCTTCCAGGCTAAATTCCGACTGGTCGGAATTTTTTACTCCTTCGGAATTGAGCCTTGAAGAAGGGGCCATGGAGCCCCGAAACGTATCGGCACTTTTAATTTATTTGTGTGAGTTTGAGTTTAATAGTTTTGACGTCACCTCGATTTCCTGTTTGTTTCATTTCGTTTAGTTTTCGTTACTTTCGGTTTATTACTTAAGAGAACAGTCCCCAGCATCAGTTATATTCTCAAAATTCAGTCGTTTCCTAACAATAAAGATGCAGCAAAACTATATACATTCCTGTCAATTTGTAGAACTTCTCTAAAAGTATGCGCAAATGTGCTAAGATATTGCTTATTGCAATTTTTCATTTGGAACTTTGATTTTTTTAACTTTTTCAGATTTATTGCCTATACTGTTTGCTATAAACATTGACAATGCGGAGTTAAATTCATCTGTCCCTAAAAATATCTGCGCCAACAAAACAGTGGATTCTGAACCTGTGATTATATCTTATCCAGGTCTGTAAGCAATTTTTGTTTCAAAATCTTTATTCTCATTTTCTTTGCAAAACCTCATTGAAAAATTACTGCCGCTTTTACTTTCTTTTTAAAGTTTTATCTAAATTGACGATGTTATCAAAGCAAATCATAATATGAAAAAATTATGTCGAAAGGATGTCAAATTGATGAAGATAGATGAGGTGATGGTAGAACTTGGTACGACAGGACGATCTCACATAAAGACTTTTACCTTGACAACTTCCCTGAATAAGCAGAGCACTATTTCTCACCCCCAAAGTACGATACAGGTCAATAAAAAAAAATTCGTCTAGATCTACCACACAGGCGCAAACAAATTATGAGTTGACCTTTAGCTCTAATTCTAAAAATGGCCCGTGCTCTTCTAAATCAGTCCAATTTTGCCCAACATAATTAGCATTCTTCTTTAAAATCTGAAGTTTCCGGGGAAAAATTCAATTCTTTAGAAAATCTATGCAAAATAGAGAAAAAACCAAGGTTATATTTGTATTCAGTAGCCAAAAATACACAGAGAATCTTATATTGCATGCCCATAAAATTTTACCTTCTGTTTCCAATATCAAGGTTTTTCTGATCAAATGATCGCTGCCCCCCACATACTACCATGTGAAGCTCATCTGCTTGTTTTGCATCAAAAAGAAAGGGAAAAATAATTTTCTCAGGTGTCTGACAGGCTTCTACCCTTTTTTTGCTGCTGAAGCTAAAAAAGGCCTATTAACTTATTTCATCACCTTTAAAAAATCAAATTTTTCAATGAAGAGGAAATGGAGGAGTTTCAATTGAGGCAAACCTGTTTCTGTAAATTTGCTTGTCCCAAAATCTGATGGGCACCGGGAAAAAACTAAGGTTGTTTTTGGCATCAACCTGAAAAATTAAGAGAACATAAACACATTCGTCACCTGAGAAAAAAAATGTTCCCATCCTTTCTGACACAAAACAATCAGATGAGCCTTACATAGTGGTGTATGGGCAGAGGCAAGAATTTAACTGAAAAAACATTGATTCTGGGACTAAATGGGAATTTTTTTAAGCACGCTTTACTTGCTTTTCTGTATATCTTTGGCTGCCAAATCTTTAACTAGCCTTGATTTTCCTCCAGTGTGCACAGATTTTTGAGAATAATGAATTTTCCTGAGAAAGCTTGATTGATAGTGAAAATTTCTATTTCCCGGAAAAAACCTCACTGAACTAGAAAAGCGAATGTCAAGTTTGGAATCAGCGCTATACATCTACTTTACATCAAATCCCAACTTTGCAGCAAACGGACTTGTGTTGGCCAGTGTAATGGATCATTATTCATCTTTTAGATTTTACTATTTGCTTCATTTTTTGGGTCATAGTTACTTCTCTGTGATTTATTGAGTGTCTAGTACTTGGTTATGCAGTGTTTGGTCAAGAAAAGGTGAAAACGCATCACCCTTGTCAAAGATATAGAATAATCAAGCTCCCCTTTTTGGGACTTTAAAGACCTCTCAACACTTCCATGTCTTTTCTCTTTGTTAATAAACATTGCCTTTTTTGTAAAGTAAATAAATAGATTTAAGGAAAGATCCGAGGAAATCCTGAAGGCAACCAAAACAGAATTTTGAAGATCTGGCAAAAAGTATGCGTTTGTAATGAACAAGTGCATGAGAGAGTTAAGAAAAATACTATGCACAATATCAAAACCGAGAAATTGTTCTAGTATGAAAATGGACAGAGGATGGCAGATGGTGGGTTGTCCAAAGAAGTGTTCAATTGGATTGAGATTTACAGAACGTCCAGTGTGCTGAGTTAGCAGCTCAACTCAAATAGTACTGATCAATAGATACTCCATTTGTCCAAAATCGAATTTGGTTTGCGAGTTTTTTCTTTTCATCAATGATTATGTTTGTTTACAGAAAATATCAACAAATTGAAAGAAAGAAAAAGGAAAACCAGGAATCCTATCATCTCCTTCGATGATGATAATGATTTAGATCATATCAGCAGTGTTACAAGTCATAGTTCTGGCACCAGTTGTGATGGTAACACCCCAATTAATGAAGTGATCCCTGCTGTTCATGTCACCAAAGTAGAGTCTGTTGAGCCTGAGTCACCAACCACACTAGAGAGTGAACCTGAGGCTGCAGAAGAAGCGGCTTTGTCAGAAGACTGCTGCAAGACATCTCCGCCAGAGAAAAGTTTGGAGTCCAGTGATGTTAGTCTTCGAACTGTCAATGATGTTGGCCTGGATTTATTGATACCAATCCCTTCCAGTAGTTTAATGCTGTCTACTTTAAGCACAGTCACAGAAGAGACCAAAAGTATCGAATTACAAGATGATGATGATTTCAGCGAGGAAGAAAGATTGAAAGAAGAAAATAAAGATCTCAGTGCTCAGTTAGAATCCCTAAAAGCCTTGAAAGTAGACAATCAAAGGTTAAAAACAGAAAATGAAATGCTGAAACACCAGCTCTGTAACTATGTGAATGCAGTGAGGCTATTGGAAAAAGAGGAACACAACAGCACCGATGAAGCGAGATTGTACGAGCAAAAGTTAGTTCAAGTTGCAGAAATGCATGGCGAATTGATGGAATTAAACTCAAGATTACAAAGAACATTAGCCATCAAAGATGAGATTGTGAAACGATTAAGCGACGAGTTAACCTCTCTGAGGGGTCCCCTTCCATCACCAGATGATGTACTTGCCCCCTCTTCTCTTGTAAATTTGTGGATTCCATCCGCATTTTTGACTGGAAATGTTACCGATCAACATCATGTTTATCAGGTCAGTTTTCATTCCAAGTCTCATTAAAATTTCCATGTAGTAAATTGACAATCGTGAAAAAACAGCTTGACCTCATGACTGCACCGCTGCTGTCCAATAACAATAGAGAATTGCTGCTTAGAGCAGCATTGTTGCTGCTCTACATGAAAACAGTAAAACAATATCGTGGTTTCTTCCACCCTCTTGCCAATCTATAAGCTTAAACCATCCAGACATAACTCTGTGACTAGCACATCTGACCCATTTTCTCAACTCTTTCTAATACTCTCAAATGCGTTGTGTCAAAGTTTCAAACTTTAATTCGCATTATCAATGATTTCACAAGTGTTTTAACTGAATTTTTTTGAAAGGTGGCAACAGCGTTTTCCTCCAACTCTAGAATTTTTGTCCTCAAACTTAAAATTGCCGCCGAAGGGTGAATCTCCGGAATTTTTGAGTGTTCTTTTTGCCAATGATGCCAAATTCACCTTTTTAAGGTGTGTAAATACTTAGTTATCTCATCCCCCATCCAAAGGTTCATTTCATCATGCCTTGTTGATGGAGGGAGCAGAGTTTGTAGCTAATCGTGCCTGAGTGAATTATTTAATTGCTGAAAATGATTCGGAAAAATAAATTAATAAGTTTGAAGCTATGAAATAAAAGCTGACCTGATATTTCAGAATAAATCCTGAGAAATTTTCCACGAACCTCACTCATGAATGATGAATATTGCTACTTTTTACATATTTTATATTTCATGGATTTTTTGTTTCCCCAGATTCACGTTCGGGCTGGGGATGATGAATGGAATGTATATCGCCGGTATGCTCAATTTTTTGCTCTTTGTCTTGACCTAAAGAAAAAGTATCCTGCAATAAGTAAATTTATCTTCCCACCAAAGAAAACGCTTCGTAAAAAGGTACCTATTATATTACAATGTTAAAAGAGGATTAATTCATGCACCAGAAATATTGTCATAACTAAGTATAAAATGACGCGATGTTTAAAAATTCTGAAATTCCTTTGCCTTTTATTATTAATTATGGGGCATTCATATTAAACCTGACAACAACGAGAGATTGAATAGGAAGATACGCCTTATTTTGAGGAATAAAAGAATGCTGAATACTTCAGTTGCAACTTACTCATGGTGATAGGCAGTAGTCTGTTGAAACATTTGTCCAATAATTAATAACACAAGGCAAAGGTTTTTAAAAGTTTTTAAATACTGCGCATCTTATAGTTACCTATTACATTGTTGTTTCAACCTCATAGGGAATTCTAAGAAACACCAGAATTCTCAAATTTTTAAATTCATTACTGCATCTCAGATTTTGCTCGATAATCTGTATAATTATAATTTTGCAGTTTGTCTTTTTTTTTAAAGTATGATAAAATTGTTAGGAGTTACTGTTGTCTGCAATTCATCACATTGGAAACACATTTCAAAGATAAAACCAGATTTCTTTTTAAACAAAAAAGAACCCTTTCTTACGTTTTATTATTGTATTACCTTTGCATATTCATCATAAGTTTGCCTTTTGATTTTTAAAAGAGGTTGTTTTCCACTGACCTTATCCCTGTAAGATTTTAAAAATCTTAAATGTAGTCCCATGCAATTCTGAAGCACAACCAAAATTGCAGGTTTGCTCTACATTTTTTTAGATAACCATGTGAATAAAAATACATATACCTATGGCTATAAAATTAGCAGTAATATTCGAAAATATGCTGAAAATAAAGATTAGTTCTGTTGGAAAACGGCGCAAGTAGTGTAGGACTGTATTTTTTCTGATGTCCTCATATTGGGAATGGTAACAATGCAAATCTCATGTTAGTGTAGTATATCTGGAAATATACTCCTCAATTAAGCCCCGAAAGAGAACTTAATTATCACTAATTAATCGTAACTCTCACTGCGGATCTTTGATTCTACTTAGATTATATAGCATAAGGGAACCAGCACAGTTACAGTGTTGTAAAAATTGTGCAGCTCAATGTTCATCTCAAGAATGCCCACCTATGACCTCACATTCTTTTGGTTTTTCTGTCAAAAAATTGTTAATCTTTAAAGGAAACCATTCTGTAAATTTCATCAAAAGGCTGTGCATTCAATTTTGTTCTCAAAAGAAAGAAAATGTTGCACGATTTTGACAACTCTGGTGAGTAGGTCTCCTTCTGCTAAATTTGAACTCTCTTTAGCTTGGACCAGCATAGTTTTTCATTCAAAATTTGATGAGATACTGTAACATTGTATTTCAATGATTATGCATTTTTTTCCAGTCACAGTTTTTTAATGTAAAGAAATAATTTATTTTCTCTATTTTCATATGTATGTGCTCAGAGTGGAGTTGAAAAGTATGTTTAATAGTTGAGATATGCTCTTTTTTAATTTATTTCTGCTTCATGTATTTTTTAAGCGAGCTAGTTTGGTTAACCAAAGACGTGGACAATTAGAAACATGGCTGCGGCAAGTTATTACCCACCTGTTGTCAACAGATCCTCTTCTGTCTTCCAAGCACAACCTAATCATCACAGTGCCTTTTCTAGGGTAAGTCAATCTAAGCTAAACAGTCGGAAAATTCAATAAAAAGTACAACCTAAAAACGTGTAAAATCAAAGTGAATAAACTCAGCTCACCAAAAAAAAGAAAAAAAAAGAAAAAAAAAATCGAAATATTTTTTTTTTTGTGTCCTCAATCTGAATTCTGATAAAATCTTTTATTCCCAAGAATTTAATAGGACAGTTCTTCAAACCCTCCTGGAAAGCATTTATCAACCCTTTGCACTTCTTACACATTTTATTTGAAGTGAATTAACTCCTTTTTTTTGATTTTCATATTCCTGTGGTGATCATTTATCCTAGTCGTCATTTTTTCTCCTGCAACTCGATTGTTTTCACATCGATAACAGCATCAACAAAATAGTAGAGAGAAGTTAATTGGTCAAACATCCAAAGTTGAAGCGATTGTTTTGTCTCAATACCAATATCAATAACGTTAACTGTGCAATGTTGCTGCATACAAGTGATGCAATCGGCTCCCAAAGCTTCAGGGGACGGTGGCATTTAGAACTAGTAGCATGTGCCCTACATCGTGATGTCGGTTATTGATGAAATTGGAGGCTGTTCATCAATCAATGAGGGTTTTTTTTTAGTTGTCAATGTGAAAGCAATTTACCTGCAGGTCTGTCAGAGGTACATATTGTTTTCGTAGTCTTTACACCTCAGACTATTAATACCTAATCTTTCTTCATCTTCCATTTCCTCTTTCCACCTATTATGAAATGCTGATTTTAAAGCACAATGTTTTTCCAGGACCATCTTGAGTTCGTACTTCTTCAACGTTTTTTGAATTTCCTGAAAATTTTGGAGATGTATGTAGTTTACTCTCCTATCACATTCATTTGGATTTTACACACTTTTATGTTGCGTTTTTGCCGAAATGTTACACTTACAGTCACACTTGTTTTTTTACAGTTACACTTGTTTTTTTTTTGGTATTTTTGGTTATTCCATAATGGAGAAAATATTTTAAAGTTGGTGCTCTTGATTATTCTTCTTGTCATCAAAATAATCAATCAAATTGAAGCAGTTTCCAACATTTTTTTCGATGATAGTTAGAAACAAATTTGTCTAAATAATGATCCGAAAGATTCTAGTTAGAAAACTCAACATATTTTAATTTTGTGGAATTTAAAGTATAGACGATTGCGATTTTGTAGTTTACGCGACCATGACTATATTGCCCTCTGATGAGGCCACTTCATCAGTTTCTTTTTAAATATAGTATAGTAAACGCTTCATTATGTTTGGAGAGGTGTTCAATTTTTAGCTAAATTTACATAGCCCCGATTCAATTTGAATTTTAATTGTCTTTTATTTAAAAATTGGAACCTTTTAGCATTTTTGTAGAGTCAACCAGGTTGACCAAGTGAATGGGAGTGGCAAACAAGATGCAAATTTAAGCATTGTGATTCATAGTTTTTTTTTCCCCCCGGAACATGACTGTGCAACGGATATTGATTAATCATTGAGAGGAACTCAATGATATCCTATCCAAGATATCATCGTGTTTTGACGCATAAATTTGAACTTTCTGCTCATAAAAAAAAAAAAAAGAAGATGATCCACTTGAGCAAATTGCATAAGAAACGATACTGTAACGGTCTCTGTGGTTTGAAAATAAAGAAACATTGATCTCAGCATTTTGGTTCAGCTGTTGCACTTGTTTACACTATGAAAAATTCAAGGTAGGAGGGAAAGGAATACTGCTCGTTCAAGATGCCTGACAAAATTGTTGTTGTGTGTAATTTGATTCATGCAGACTCTGGTTTTTCTTGTGTGGGGCAAATTCAAATTTCATAACCAAAGCTAACTAAAAAATTGTTAGGAGTTAACTCCTGTAATGTTCATAGCGTCAACTAAGTTTTACATCAAATTTTGAAGAGAAAGCATGTATCAGAATGCTGAAACTCGCATCTTGTCCAGTGATCCATATGTAAGTACTCCGTCAAAATACCTTTGACTAATTTTCTGTTGAAAATGTGTGTTTTTGCTTTGAAGGGAAAGAAGAAACGCACTTAGTATTGAAGAAAGTTAATATGTACTTGAAATTTTGTAGTGTTGCAATATACAAGCTGCTCCCACCCTGTTGTACACCCTGTTTTTCACAGTTTTTTTTTCATTTTATTTATCATTTCTGGGTGTCTTGATGAATTATTTTGACTGGGAATCCTTTTTTTATTTTCTCCTTGCCACTACTCTCATGAGGATCTGAAATAAGGGGTTCGGAGAACAAGGCGCATAAGCGCTGTACTTATGCGCCTCGTCTTCCAAGCCCTTCAAATATTGTTCATTACATGAAAGCCAGTGTCATATCTTTTTCTTATTTCAGGGAAAACTTCTGTCCGTCCAGTGATGATAGAGGGAGTGGCTCTCAATCTCGAAATTCAGACGCTGCCAATATGAGTACAACACCACAGTATATGGGTCTTTGACATAGTATCAATGTAATCATAACTTTATCAATTTCATCTAAAAGTGTTATTTTTGCTCTCTATTCTGAGGTACTGTCTTGCTCCTCGTCACACATTTATTTTATGAAATTTTTCTCTCCAGGTTAATAGCATTCTTAAACTATTTATATTGTTTCATGTAGACTCTTCTTAAATAATCAATATGAACGAGAAAATATAAAATGACGCCACAGTAATAGAAAGAACTGCCTTGACTTGACTCTCATACAATCGTATTTTACAAAATTTATTTTTATCAGGTGATCACCGAGCTTCTTTTGTAAGAAAAACTTTTTTATTTACATATGGTGTGTAACCGAATCCATTGAAGTTATCTGTACTCAGAATCTGTTTTTTTGTGAGTCAGTACATAATAGAGAACATGCTCTTGCCTGCTATCTGGCTATGACACAGTTTCAGAAAAATCCCCAAGCATTTCAGTGGCTAAATGAAGAAAAATGCATGTTTCAATGACAACATTATAAATCTCTAATTATGATTATTTTTTTCCAGAAAAACCAAATCAAAATTTTACCTTGGAATCTTGTGTGAGTTTTACTAGAATACAGGAAAAAAATTTCAATTTCTTTATTCATATTCCTTTGAAGAAATGAATTATGAGCAGAGACTTAAAACGTAGCAATCTGCAATATGCATTTTTTCACGTAAGCCATCGATTTTATTGACATTAATTATCAGCAGAAAAGTTGAAGAATTTTTCTTCTTTTGAATCTTAAAATCGTTCATGTCCACTTCCTAGATATATTCCAAGGGACCTTATATTTTCTCACTTAGACTGAAAATTTTACGCGAAAAAAACCAGGATTAAGACCAAGCCTTACAAATAAGTATTTTATTCCATCTGAAACTGATGGATTGAACATTTTCACTAATCGAAGGAAAGGCATAAATGATTTATATCGCAAATGCAGAAGTAGGTATAACAATTAAAATAAGGGTATCCAATGAAACAACAGTAAAGTTACGCCAATCTGCCAATCACTTTTTCTATAATGTTTTTAAGAAAACTACTGAGCCTCATTTTTTATTTAAATTTAATAATCCTTTGAGGTATAGTTCATGAAAGGGAGAGATCATTCAAGCATTATTCGAGTTTATAATAGACACATTTCATCTTCTTAGAAACGTTCTCTCATCTTGGAGTAATGAAGTGGCTCCAAACCACCAAGCTCTTCCAATTTCTTTTTTTCCTACCTAATAATTTAAAAAAAAAATCCCATTAATTGCAAATATGTATGAACCATTGTAAAAATGTCTAGTTTTTCAAAATTCCCATGTTTCCATCCACTCCTTGGATCCACTTGAACTACTGTATGATGGTTTTCATGGGTTTGTTTTTGTTAAAAAGTATATGTAGATTTTAGAGAATTTGTAATTTGTTACGATTTTATATATCCATACTTGTCTGCATTTTCTTTGTTTTTCTCTAGTCGTATTGTAAGATACAATTGAAATTTTCCTTTTTTGAAGTATGTTAGAAATTCTGTAAACTGTGAGTATTAATAGTTATGAACTTATACAAATAAGGACATAGTGTCGCTATTTTGTTTGAATTTTCTCCAAACATTGATCTGTAAGAAAGCATTCAAGATTATGCAATGTAATTTGTATTAATTATTACAAATCTGAAAATAAAATTATGTATGTTACTTTGTTTATATTATTATTGCTCTATGTTGCTGTGAATTTATTTTTTACTCAAAAATTAAACAAGGAATGAACCAATATATGTATTTATTTTTTAACTTAGAATTATACTTAAATATAGTGGGTACTTAGAGCATAATTGTTATGCATCCTCTTCGATTTTTTACTGGCATAATCAAATATGCTCTTGTTATTGTTAAATTCTAAAATAATAATAATAAAAAAAATAAAAAAGTACCTACTGGTCTCCTTCTTCAAAAATGGAGTGTTTTTAGTTTTTCATTATTCATATCTTACAACTTTATTAAGACTGTGGATCGGTGGTGGCCAGGAAAAAGTGTACCTTAAATGGAGCAGTCATTCAAAGCGAGCAGGGGGTGGAGCTTTTTTAGTCCTTCTAACCTGAATAACATGGATTCCTAGGGGAGTTTTTACGACAAACGATTAGACGTTGAAATCCTCATTGTGAATTCATATGACAAATGCTCAGGTCTTTTATCTGGACACAGATTTTCAAATGATTTGTCTGAATTTGATGAAAGATATAAAACACCACAAGAAACCATGGGAACCTACTATCTTCATCCGAACCCAACTTTTACAAATGCATATCGATGGCTTAACTGCGAAACTTCGTATCTCCATTCACAATGTTGCAGACTTCCTGTCATACTTACTTTATTATTTCCTCAGAAAGCTAGTCAACATAATATCTTAAAGGGACTCTATTTTGGCAAGTAACACCGTCTACTGCACAGCTATAGAACAGTTAAATTTAAAACATGTGTTGGGTGATATTTATTTTGGAGAACTTGTGAAAGTCAATGGAAGTTGCGGATCAAAAGAGCTAAGTGCCTCTGGACTATCTCTCTCATACTACCTATTGATAGTTTTGTGTCTCAGCTTTTTTTTTTTTTTTTTTTTTTTCAAATGCCTCTCTGTTTGGCATCCCTCTTCCAATTAGCTGCTAAAAATGAAAAATATGAATTCTTTGTGTAGTCACTGTGTCCAGCTGAAATTAGCAGTGGGACGAAAACCCTTATCAACGATGAAACTACCAGACCACATATCTGGATTTGCAACGTCGCAGACTTCCTGTCATAGTTTATTTTTTAGATGAAAAACTACTCAATGTCATTTTTTGAAAACTTCCGTGATTTTTCTTCTTTGAGTAAAGAAAAATCTGTGAAAACCTCTAGGAATGATATTGGTTTGTTTTCTTATACAAAAATAAAATGGGAGCAGAGATTTTTAAACACCGCTGAAGAGATATGTGGTCAGGTAGTTTCACTGTTGTTATTCTCTACACTTTTAAATACTGGAGATGTTTATAGGGGTTCAGAGAGTATATCTCAGGCACGTAGCCGCGATTTTGTTTCGAAGGGGGCTTGCGAGGATCCCCCCCCCCCTCTCTGACTAAGAGAGGAGTATGGAATACCTCATAGCTTAGAGGGGGCTCGGCGACCTCCCCCAAAAATTTTAAATCTATTTGGACGCATTTTGAGACATGGATGACGCAAATTTTCCATCAATTTCTGCGGAAAAATTAAGTTCCTTTTTTAACTTTCAGCCAAAAATACCTTCAAATTGTTGCATTCAACACATTTGAAAAATTGTAGAAATTTTAACTCTATTTGAACGTATTTTGAAAGTTCAAACTTCCTCTTCTCTCGCATTTTCTTATTTTCTATCTCCTTTTCTTCATTCTCTTCCTCCTTTTTTTGCTTTCAGAAGGGGTTTCAGCCCCCCAAGCCTCCCTCCTGGCTACGACCCTGGTATATCTGACGGTTGTTCATTCTAAGAATTTTATACTCTTTCAACTCATCGATTTTATTTGGTATCCTCCACTGAAGTCTGCTGCCTCCACTCATAGAGAAAAAAAAGGGCCTCCACTATTCTTTAGCAAATTCTTTAGCATGAGTTCAAATTTCCCGCTTGTGTCACTTCTGCGGCTCTGAAATGACCTTACGACTGGCACGCTATCTTATGGGAGAAGCTGGCAGTTGTCTTTTTGCTCCAGCTCGTGATCTGGTAGTAGCTCCTTCTACTTCTGTCTGTGATAAAAATACCGTCACGAATTCAACAAAGTTCAGATAGATTCAGATCTTGTCTGCCTGCTCCGTGTGAAGCATGGTCGATTTTTTCACACGAATTACTCATTTCGTAAATGTGAATATTGTGATTCGCTCTTAGTGTTTCGGAATTTCAAATTGATCACTACCGTTTGTGCATTTGTTCAATTTATGTGGTTCATTTCCTCTTATCAAGATTGTGGGTTTCTCGTGTGCATGTTGTCATGTGCCATGGAAGTGTCCTGTACTGGACCGAAACTCATGTGTTTTATATTAAGCGTGTGTCTGTGATCATCTCTCAATCGTACTGTTTTTAGTTTTTTCATTTGTTAGTGCATGTTAACTCCTCCCAATCCAATGGAGAGTAAACAGAAGAGGTTGTACAAAATCGTGCTCACTGGAGGTAAGCGTAACTCAGTTTTTTTCAGGTTTTTCAAGAGGAAAACAAATTACCGCATGGTTCCATTGGCTCAAGTACGAGCCTGTAATGTAGTCATTCTTTGTGCCAGGGCGGATATGTTTAATCCATCATTTCCTGCCCCACAATGAGAAATCTATTTATATCCGTTGTTGATCTTTCTAATGCTTCACCAGTGTCAAATTTATTGCACTGTTCTTCTTCAAGGTGGTAATAGAATTGCAAGGGTGCATACTCTTCTAGACCTTCACACTTTTCTATGAGACTTCCGCTTCATACACGCTGGGTTTTTGCAAGAAGGTCTACACAATTGCGCTGATCCAAATTTTGCCGAATTTTTTGTCAATATTAGAATGTGTGCCAAAATCGCATCATTTCTCAAAAGATAAATCTCTGAATACCCAAATAAGAAAGTCAAGAAATTTCTCATCATTTACATGTTTTTGGGCAAGTCAACAATTAGGTTGAGAACAATTTGCATTGAACGAATTGAGTCCTATTGATGGTCCACAAAAACCTATTGTTATTAACTTATTTATATTAATTTATCTGCCTGGGTTTCAGTTTACTTACCTCTTAATTTCATACTGAATAAAATCTGCAGGTAATGAGGCTTAACAGTTTCATGGGTTTCATGGTACGTTGCTTCATAGCATGAAATCTTTTTTCACTGAGCCTCTTTTTACACTGACAAGTGTTGCATTAAGGAGGACATCTCAGAAGAGAACCTATTTGCACTATACAATTTTTCCTCTTGATTATAAAGTGAGGTGTCTGGATATTTTTGAAAATATGTGAATGTCGTCTTTCTGCTAGTGCTAATTATTTTTTAATATAACACATAGAAAGTGTCAAAATTATTGTTTAAAGTTAAATTGTTGTCACACCCGCAACATTGGAATGACCCTTAACCATTTGATGTCACAGACAGCTCCTCACTTCAGTCTTAATTAATTTAATAGGTACCTAAGTACATGAATATTTTTTTCAATTTTAGAATCAGTTCGATTCTCAAACCGTAAAGTAAATTACAGAAAAGAGATCGCCGTCTGAAAATAAAATTTCAGGGAAGTAGAGGACCCAACTTTTGATTCCCTAAATTTTTTCTCCCTCATCTGTAGGATATAATCAAAATGTAAATATTCTAGTGGCAGTTGTTCATAAGATCCCTATCTCCTCTTGTCGCTCTTTGCAATCTTGACATTCTGAACAAACATTCACCAAAATGTCACCTCAAGGCAAGGAATTAATTATCAGCAAAAATGTAGTTTTATTGTTATTAAATCTTCAAGAATATATAGTGTCAACGAAAGTGCAAATTCCCTCTTGTTGCAGGCTCGGTTGTATCATCTCATAGCGTGTTAATCATCAATAATCTTCAATGCTAACACAGTGCATTAATGGAAGCTTATATTTTAAAAATTTATTGACAGGCTCTCAGCTGAAAATTGTTTATGCAAAATGATTTTGTATCCACACCTAGCTGTTCGTGTTTTATCTTTTTACTTACTTTAGCTTTGTTTGCAAGATTTTGACCCTCTCTTTTTTTTTTTTCAAGGTCCTTGCGGAGGCAAAACAACAGGCCAATCCAGGTTGTGCACATTCTTTGAAAATTTAGGATGGAAGGTGAGTAATATGACGGTCCTTACCTGTAATCTTGTAATTACTAATTATTAATTTTTAGTTCTCTATTTACGAAAGAAAAAGCATGCTTTACAAAAATAGTAAATAGTAAAAATAAAAAAAATATTTGGTCCTACCATTGAGCACAGCTTGTTTAGTCAGACAAATACTTTTTACAGATAGATACAATGTATTCTAATAACAAAATTTGAAGGTCTGACATTTCTCAGTTGGCCAGCATCTGGAGCTCCCTGATCTCTTCTCATTGTCTAGACTCTAAAAAAGCGTAAGAAGAACATCTGAAAAATATATTCAGTAAAATCAAGAACGAAACACGAAAAAATTTATAGAAATCATAGGAAAAATATTGTAAGAGTTGTACATCAGAAAAAAAGAGATAAAAAGAAGCGGAATGCCTCACAAGGGCTGGGCGCAGAACCACTGATGGATCCTTTCCTTATTCCATAGGACAGCATGTAGTAGTTATAAAGATTGAGTACAGACTAGATCTCTGTTGGTATTTGATTATACCTACATGATTACAATGGTATACATAATGGCATGCTCAGAGACAGGCAGTCAAAACAAGAGTACCTATCACCTATCATTGCAACTCACCGTCTTGCCCCTCTCAGCCTGTCATTTGGGTACCTAAAATTAATAAGACATATAAAAGACTGATATAATTTGATTAAATCCAGCTCAATAGTTGTTGAACTGAAAGAATATTTATTAGACGGCCCAGCTCCTCTGATAGGTACCTACTGGGTGTAGTTGAAGTATTACTTTCACTACATTTCTTTCCTTTCTCTACAATCCTCTTTAAACAAGTATGCAGGAGATTAAATTTCACCACCGATTTTTGACTTCAGGCTCAACTCACCTGATTTTATTTTCATTCTGAGACATGCTTGCACTTACAGCCAAACCTACATTTCACTCGATGAGTTCTAAAGAAAGCATCACCAGTAAGAGCCAAAACTGGCCTCTCATTCTGGTATTAGATCTAATTCATTTTTTAAGTCATTATACTCAAGGGGAGAATAGTTAATTAGAATCACTTTGAATCATGTTCATGGGAGTTAGTTTTACTAAGAGCAGCAAATTCTGTGGAAGGGACTTTTTAGTCTTCATTTGTTAACAGGCTTCTTATTCCATAGAAATTGGTTTTTCAAGGATATTTTTAGGGTACTGTTTCATGTTTTGACTCCGCAATTTTTCAGGAAGTCTAAAATCGGTTCCCTTTTCAGAGTGATTTGCCGACTAAACCTCTCTGAAACATCAGAATTCCCAAAACCTAGAATACCAGTCAAGCAACAAGACTGAAGTAACTTATAGTTTATGTAGCATAATTGGACGTATTTCTGTCAAACGGGACCAAGTGCTTTAAGACATGAGCCCTGAGACCCATTAGAATTATGCATAACAGGGCTCTTGTCATAATGCACATAGTTCTGTTCGACGGTAATATATCCAATTGATATCTTTTGCTTCCTCATGAACCTGTGTGCCAATGCTGGAAATATTATGTTTCAGGTTTTCCGAGTCCCTGAGACTGCCACCGTTCTCCTTAGGTATGTGCCCCATACTTTTTATTAACTTGGGGACTCTATGGGTTTTTAGTGTAAAATCCTGGTCAGAATCCTGCATGCTCAACCATTAAGTCAAAATTTTGTCCTGAGCATTTTTTGCTCAAGTACTCATGATAAGTGTGCTTACCAATAAACTGACATGGAATGACCTCTTACAGAGTTGAGAGCCTCTTTTGATATCAAACCTTGCAAGAAAATTTTAATGTTCAATTTCAATTGAAATTATGTTTACTATATAGTAAAACCAAAGATACTAATACCTTTTTCCAAAGTATTCAGCGTTTAGCCATAAAAAATCAGTCCACAAATTGGAAGTATTAAGATGTTTGAAAGCTTAGAAATCCGGTAGGTTGTATTCATAAGCATGGCGATTTTTTCTAGAGCCACATCTCTTAAAAATGAAGTGATTTTTTTTTTTTGCCACATTTTATCCTGTAACTGTAATTAATTCAAACCGAAGTGCTGACATTTTAGCATGAATCTTGAAATCTCCGAACTTTTAAGTATTGAAAATGCCTCAAGCCTAGGAATTTTAACGTGTATCAATACTGAAAGTAATGAAATTACTTAAGCCAAGAAAAAAAACCACCTTATAACATGAATACACACAAAAAAAATACTTACAAATAGTTTGAAAAAAGGGAGAAAAAATGATGCAAATAAGGCCACCACACTAAGTTTAAATGATTGCAACTTTTTTACTCCACGCACTAATAAGAGCGATCTATTCGTAGCCAAAAATCGCCCTGTCAAAATTATGCGACGTTCTTCAAAAGTTGTCGAAGGAAAAAAACCTCGACATCTTTAATTTTCCTCATATTTACGGTTGCTCTGACTGGGCCGTGAGGCGTCTTTCTGAGGTTGGGCACTTTGTGGCGAGGGGGCGTAGCCTCTTATACAGTTTCATTTTAATCATGGAATGTAACACGCCGAAACATCTTCCTCAACCTCCTGAACAAGGACATAAGGGCATACATTCGTGATGGGAATGAAGCCCTCCCCCTCCCCCTCCCCCCGTTGTATCCCCAGGGTGTCTACAAGTCCGGAAATAGTACTGATTTTTTAAGGGCGGTCCGGAAGTATTGAAAATGTGCGGAAATTCCGCAAGAAGGTCCGGAATTTTTTCATCTTTGTCGCAATTGAAGCGAGGAATTCAAAGTTTTGAAATTTCGTCAATTGGAGGTACGGAAAAAGTACTGAAATTGTCCGCTGAGGAGGTACTGAATTTCTCGGGAATGTACTGAAAAAGAACTGTAAAAGTACTGATTTTTGTCCAGCCACTCTTAGTAGCCAAGCGAGAATTCATTTTCTAGATCGAGAACTTGAGTTCAATATTGCAGAGAGGAATCATGAGCTCTCTGGAATTTCTGCACCCATTGACCCTGCCTGGCCACCCGTACTGTCCGTTTCGATCTTATCGATCAGACGTCTAGCCAATGGGTGTGGGCTGTCTGTTAGGAGTGAGGTTTTCTGGGAATCACACTCGACCAGACGTCTAGAATTTCTGTATGCAATAAGACTCCAGTGTGGGCGTGCCGGCGTGCCGGGAATCGGGATCCAGGATTCGAATCGGAACTGGAGTACCCATATCACGGACATGTCGGAATATGGAGCTCTTAGGGCCCAAAAGGGCAGCCAACCCTCTAAACCAAAAAATGTCACCGCCAATCTCCGGATTCCAATATCAAACCAACATGGCCAATGTGCATAAAGAAGCGTTCTTCTACAAAAGAAATCTGCTGCGATTCTACAGCGACGCGCCTTCATTTCCGTGTGATGCCTCTCGCATTGCCGCCAAGTTGATTTAGTTGCGTGACCCAATCTAACCCAACTCGAGTTTTCTGTGGCAGTCCCACGCCTTTTTGAATCGGATCGGAATTATTAATCAATATGAATCAATACCAGAAGGAAACGAACACATAGATGCCGAACACTTTCTGCTGTACTACTGATCACTTTTTCGATTTTCAAGAGCGAAAATTCCACTAAAAGCGTATGTCAATTCAATATTCTTACCCCGGCTTAATCCTCAAAAACTCCCCCTACAAAGTTGATGATTATCAATTACAGCTGTAGTTGTGTTTGTGGCTCCAGCTGATCGATAGTTGGTGTTGAAAAATTTCGCGAGGAGCGCGTAGACTCATCAACTTCTGCCGGTGCCATTCATAAAAGTGCCATAACAGCTCCCGAGGGCCTGCATCGAAATTGCAACCTCTAGAGGTGTAGATTTCGTCTATGGCCAACTAATAGTCAGCGCATTAGACTCTGTTTATTTTTTCTTTTTCTCGTTTTCCCTCAAGTAAAAATCTAAGTAGAGCAGGGTGTCTACTGTCAGTGAAAAGCGGAACATATATCAGGGAATGGAGTTGTTGCATGTGTGAGGAATTTGCGACTTGTGTTGATTCCAACGTAAAAGTTTGCGAGAAACACGATGGTGCCACTGGTTTTTTCTGAAATCGACTCTCAAGTTGAGGCTAAAATGGAGGGGATATCCCACGCTACCCTGAGAGTCCACCTCTACATCAAGACAAACTCTCCATGCAAAGATAGGGAACAATACATTGACAGGGTTGCCGTGATTTCAGTTTTAAAGTCCCCCGAATACAGTGGCAGCCCTGTCAATGTATTTGCTCCCTATCTTTGCATGTAGAGTTTGTCCTGATGTAGACGTGGACTCTCAGGGTAGGGTGGGATATCCCCTCCATTTTGGCCTCAACTTGAGAGCTTTTTTTGAGCGTGGGAGTTGATTTCAGAGAAAACCAGTGGCACCATCGTGTCTCTCGCAAACTTTTACATTAGAATCAACAGTCAAATCGCAAATTCCTCATAGAAGCAACATCTCCATTCGGTACTATCAGGAATAATCAGAAAAATCGGTATTGGATGAGTGAATTACGCGTGAGTCCGGTTCCAAGGAAGTGAAACGCGGGTATGCTCTTGCCGACCTCTTTCGTCAAAACGCAGCTTTTCGATCTGGCCACTAGAGACTAGAGTCCCTTTATACTGAGAGTCAAGACAACACCCCTCATGGAGTCACAAACGGGAATAAAGATTACACAAATTGAACGTTTTTTGTAATCTTTGATCGGCCTATTCCCTAATTCCTTTCTCCATTCCTTCTCTCATTCCGTTTGTTCCTTGTCGAACCCGAAATTCCTCGGTCCATTCCAGATTATAATCTTTGCAATTGGTGAAAATATAATCTTTATTCCCGTTTGTGACACTGTGAAGGCCTAAAATCCGGTTAACCAATCAGAAATGGATTCGCATTGTCTTGACTCTCAGTATAAAGGGACTCTACTAGAGACGTGCTGCGAGGTTTCAATTTCAACAACTTTGCACTCTCGGCCGAAGAGAAATACGACCGTCCGCTGTTGACAAAAATGAACGAGCATCCACCTCAATAAAAGCAAACGGATTTTCGTTCTATTCAAACTCTCTGTCACCTAATTCGTTCATTTCCATCAACAGCAGATGGTCTCATTTCTTTTGGGCCAAGACAGCAAAGATCGTCTCCTTCTGGCCAAAGTATCACAAGCGTCATACGACGTTTAAAAATTTCCGCCGCCATTTCATTTTTTTACGGAGAGATTGTTAGTTGAATCTGTTAGAAAATTTCCCAGAATTCTACCGGCAGCACAAAGAAAATTTGGTGAAATTTTCAAAAAGATTCGACGAACAAATCCTCCGCAAAAAAATGAAATGGCGGCGGAAATTTTTAAACGCCGCATGGCGCTTGTGACTCTTTGGCCGGAAGGTGACGAGGTGGTGAAGTTCAAATCTCGCGGGACGGTTCCGATGGCGGGAACAAAAAGCTGCGTTTCCGCAAGAGCATTCTCCCGTTTCACTCACCCTGGATCCCNGGGGGGGGGGGGGTGTTTGTCCCTTAGGCCTTGTCTCCACGGGACGATTTCATGGGATTTTTCCCAAGTTCGAATCGCAGGAATGAAACTTCTGGGATTTTTCCCAGTTACCGTCTCCACGGGACGGGGCTCATTCAGTCCTGCGATTAGTTTGCGCGGGAAGATAAATTAGTTAAAGTCGAGTATTTAACCGGGATTAAAATAATAATTGCATTCAATTGACAAGTAGACACATCCTTTTAACTAAACAACTATGAACAATGTAGTAATGAATAAAATATCGCACAATTCGTTTTCACTTCTTCTTCTTCTCTCAGTGGGTCCTAGGGGTACTAGTACCATACTTGGTACTGGGAAAAATATTGATTAACTCAATATTTTTCCCAACTTCGTAAGTGGGATTTTTCCCTGGGACTAATCTCGCGAAACGGCTCGTGGAGACAAGGCCTTAGAAAATTTCGAAAAACTGAGTTATCGGAGAGGCAACTTTAAGCTCTAGTCATTGGAAAATTGGCCGAACTACAATTTCGTAGATAAACGATATGTTACGCACTTGCCTAGCAGAATCCCTAAATTTTCTCGGGAGGGGGCGAGTAGATGGGGGGGGGGGGGCAAGGTCCCTGTCCCTTCCCCCTATTTCCACCTATGGGCCGGTGAGAAGCGTTGATTTCGAGCGCGCGACGGGTGTCGGAGCAAAAAATCGGAGTGTAAGTAGATAAAGGCCTTAAGTCGTGGCGTGGCGCCAAATTGTTTCTCCCGGCGCGGGGCGGGGCGGGGCGCACAGTGGATCCAGTCTGACAGAGAGGTTGGACATGAAATTTTTGACCCAAACTGCAAATTTTGATGTTTATTTCGTCACATTTCAATTTTTGGGGGTTGCCTCCAGAGGAAAATTTCACGCGGAAACCAATGAGATCACTGTCAGTAGAGTCCCTTTAACTGAGAGTCAAGACAATGTGAATCCATTTCTGATTGGTTCCCGTATTTTAGGCCTTCACAGTGTCACAAACGGGAATAAAGATTACAGTTTCACCGATTGCAAAGATTATAATCTGGAATGGACCGGGGAATTACGGGTTCGGCAAGGAACAAACGGAATGAGGGAAGGAACGAAGAAAG